ATCCATTAGTCTAAAAGAATAAAAAGCATTGAAACATCAATTTCTCTAAAGAACATAAAGCAGCAAGTAAACCAAGCCAAAACCCATAAAACCTCATTTATTTTAAAAGCAAATAATCTCAACACAAGTCCTAAAATTCCAGAAAAATAAAAAATGATAAACTTTCCTGATTTTGGAGCCCTTCGATGCTGATTATCAATCGAAGGTAGCGGATCACATATCATCGCCTACACAAGAAATAAAAAAAATAGCCCAAAAACAAACCTAGGTCAATATATTTTTTGAAAAAAGAAAAATGAACGCAAGGACGACAGGAAAACGAAGATATGCGGCAAAAAATAACAAATTCAATACTTATAGACGATTGTCTGCGAGGAAAGGCCATGAATAGAGCACTTACCATGTACTATAGAGAAGACACTTTGTGCGTACAATAAATCACCCCACGTTGGAGAGGAAATCTGCATCACCAGAAATGAACAAATGAAGCTCGATGAAACGACTGAAAATCATAAGAAAAATGCTGAAATTATTAGGAATGGGATAGTGAGAAACATTAGAGAAAGAGAGAGAGTGCTCAGCTGCGACTCCTGCAAGCCTGCGAGAGGCAAGAATGAGAGCGAAAAATTATTTAAAGCCTTAGCGAACGGCTGAGATTTAAGCCTTAAAATCAAGGTTCCAGATAGATCTTTTCCAAACTGTGTGGTTTTAATATGAGCGAAGTGTTTGCAAAAGGAAGAGCCACGTGTCAAACAAAGAAGGCTCTTACCATCTTTTTATATATTAAGAGTAAAGATAAAGATATATCTTGCAGAATTTTAGATGGCCTTTCCATTAGGTTTAAAAAAATAGAGTTGAGATCATCTATTTTACACCTCTTTTGATCATCGTTATTTTTTAGTCATAACGTTAAACCTCAGTCTATTAGCTCTAGTATGTAAATTAATTATTAACTCTAGTATGTAAATTAATTAACATATTATCTCGCTAAAACGTTGATACTAATATAAATTTGATTTTAGTATATATATTTATTCTTTAATATAAAAAATAATAGTTTTACATATTCTGGTATAATACTTAATTTATTATTTTATCATAAAAATTATTGTCATTATAATTTTTTAATAAATATTTTAGAAAATAAAAAAATATTTATCTATTTACAAACTCATTATCTCGAGTTTGAAACCATAATTTTATTCTTAAAATAAAATTTAGAAAATTTTAACTTGTAATCAAAGATGAATTTGCATTGATTTGAAATTCCTAATCCATCTTAAATTTATTTTGTGAAAAAAGGCTAACCAAAATGTTTATACCAAGAGTCTTAATAATTTTATATTGTAAAAAGTCTTCATGAAAAATATCTCTACTGACTTTGGCGGACCACAATATCGTATTTGATTCAACAAATTAATTAATTTTAGGAAGTGAATAGTTGCATATGTATATGGAAGAAATTTGAAAATTCAAATTCCAAAACCACTACCACAATATCGTATTTGATTAAATAAATTAATTAATTTTAAGAAGTGAATAGTTGCGTATGTATATGGAAGAAATTTGAAAATTCAAATTTCAAAACCAATATCGTATGTAATGGGTTTATACCAAGTTCCCAATTTTTTCAAAATTGTATAAATCCTTCATGCAAGGAATCTTCACTAATTTGGGGACCAACAAATTACTTAAATTTAGGAAGACATAAATTGTGTACGTGGATGCTGTTTCTGTTGTATGTTTAAAGAAAATAAATTCAAAAATGGTATTGATACGGGATTGTATTATGAGGGATTTAACAAAAATATAAATTTTTAGGACACAATTTGATTTGAATTTTTCAAATTAAATTCCACTTTTCTAGGCCGCCTAAGTCAAATGATGATAAGGATTAATGTTAAAAAGAAAAAAGAAAAAAAAAACAAAAATAGTAAGCAATTAATGTTGTCCTAAAATTTCTAGTTACTATTTATGGTAAATAGTAATTCTTATTATATATATAGATATAATTTTGCACAATATGACGTATTTCATTTGTATAGAAATATAGTCGAAAGTGTAGAAAACTTAATTTAACCCAAAAAATCCAATCATTTTTAACTCAACCATTTTTTTTAACTCAAATTTAACTCAATCCCACTAACATCAATATTATCAATATAATTAAATAATATCAATCAATCATTCTTACACACACCGTCAACCTTAATTCACAATTCATCAACTCACTTAATTTTAACTAATCATCACATCACATCTTCTCTCTCCTACTTTTACATCATTTAATTTTAATTATTTTATTTTAAATATTATTTTAATATATTCACTAACAACTAACCATATAAATTTTTTTCAAATTTAACCAACTCAAATCAAAAATCTCCGGCCACGTCCCGTGGACTTATTTTTCACACTTACTCCCTAAGTGTAAATCACTAAAAATGTTTAAATTAGTATAAAGGAAAACGATACAAATGAAATGGTTTCAGTTCCTCGGTAATTGAGTGTTCCGAGAACTGGACTCAAAAGTCAAAACAAAAATGTAAGCACGAAACTTGAAGCTCGAAGGTGATGAATAATAGCAATAGCTTCAGCAACAACTCTTCAATCTTCAAGGTAGGTTTATATATGATTTCCTTTTCGTGAAGTGTCCCCAAATCTCTTGGTTCCTTTTCGAGTATATCCAAGATGTCCTTCCAAGCATAGAACTCTTCTTCTATCTCCAAATATCCACTTTCCTTAGTTATCCAATCTCCTCTTTATTCTTTGCAATCTCCTACTTGTGTGTGCCTCTCTTCCCTTCTTTACATGAACCGATTTCCTACAGAATATAAACACATAATAAGATCAAATATTCATTTTACATAATATAAGCTAATTTAGGAAACATGAACTACATAAAAATTCCCTTATTTACGAATTTAATGCATGCAGGAACTTCCTTTCGAACTCATGCCAAAATATTATATCTTTCAGGCATAATAAAAATAAAAAAAAAATTAGGAATATAAACAATGCTAATAGTTTGATTATAAATATTACTACTAACTTAGAAAATTATAAATCGGAAACTGGTTCCCTTCTCCACTTATCCACAACTTAATATATTTATTGTTTCGTAGAAATTACTACGGTGGGTATGTGATTAGAATATCACAAAATCTAGACAATGAGTGGACACAACTTAATGTATCCATAA